AGAATTTCAGAATTTCAGAATTCAGAAATTTCAGAATTTCAGAATTTCAGAATTTCAGAATCTCAGAATTTCAGAATTTCAGAATTTCAGAATTTCAGAATTTCAGAATTTCAGAATTTCAGAATTTCAGAATTTCAGAATTTCAGAATTTCAGAATTTCAGAATTTCAGAATTTCAGAATTTCAGAATTTCAGAATTTCAGAATTTCAGAATTTCAGAATTTCAGAATTTCCCTAATACAAAGAAAAAGGAAAAAAAATAATTTGTCATTCTTTATTCATATTTTCAATCAAGAGTTCTCTACTTAGCGTAGGACTTCGAGTAGGTCGTTGACTTCTTATATTGATACTTTGGAGCCGCAGCTGGAGCCGGAGCAGCTGGCGATTTTGGAGCTGGTGAAGTTGGCTTAGTGGCAACTGGAGCACTCATTTTGGAAGAAGATGCTGGAGCTGCTGGAGCTGCTGGAGCGGTCGGAGGCTGAACAATGACAAATTACTTGTTGTCTTGAACTACTTCCTGTAGAATCTTACTTTCTTTCCGAAGAGCTCATCGTCGATATCCACATCAAGATCGGTGTTCTTGTGATTGCCAATGGCATCGACTGGCACGAATGCTGATTTATCTGCCATCTCGCTCTTTTCTGGCTCTCAAATCGTCGACTTTGCTCCACAAAAACACTCGGAAGACTTCGAGAAGTTTCCGTTAGTTTCACAATAACCATCCCAACTCAGGGATCGCACCACATTGACGTTTTGGATGACCAACTAACCCAAAATCTTTTTTTCTCAAATTTCATCACGTAGAACACGTGGAAGTCATTTTAAAGAACATCAAGCTGCTGCGCCTTCGGCGCAATTTAATCAAAGCTCACGTAAATCTATTACTTTCCAAGATTTTCAAAAGTCCACAGAGTGACACCGGGACCAATACACACGTCTTTTGTATTTGAGGAAGATTAAACGTGAAGACCAGAACAACTCTGATAACATCTTGCCACGTGCAATCTCCATAAATAAGAACAAAAAACGGAGGAGAATCAGCCAGTTTGAAGCTAACTTTGGCGAAAAAACCCTCGACAAGTTTTCAACAACGATCGTTTGCGGTTCGTCATCGAAGCAGCGTTAAGTGGGAGAAAAGTATCTAGAGGTCTTCACTGTAATTCTGTGTTTTTTTTCAGTTTCCATGTGCAAGATGACGTCCCGTTTAACGTGTCTTCTCATCTTCACCTTACTGCTCGGTTTACCAACCGCAGCTGCCAATGGCTCGAGTTCAACCACAGCAACAAATGCTCCTACCCAACCTCACCTACTAGAGGAATTCCTATAATGCCTCCTGACACTTCATGCGAGTCCGCTTTACTTCGACAATAAACAAAAATTTACTGTTTTCAGCGTGCCCGGATGATAAATCTTTTACCAGCCATTGTGGCAAAGATCAAAAATGTAAGCATAACAATGAGATATGCTACCGTGATATGAAGGATAGCTCGAATCCTGGAAGTACCATAATGGCGTGCTGTGGTAGGTGGGCAAAGTTTTAATAAAAGATGTATTACTCTCTTAGTTCAAACTGAATATTTCTGCCCTTCCACTGGATTGTATACAAAGCATCATGAAGGAAATGGTGGTTGGTTATACAAGTATCTTGGCGAAGCCGAATTACCAAAAGATCTCTGGTACAGACGTTGGCATATAAAGTCTGGCGAACATGGAGTTGCTTGTCGTAAGTGTTGTGATCACCATAGAAGAATGACTAATCTTTTTTCAGCACTTCCGAACTCGTACACATTGAAAGTACCAGGTGAGACGCATCTTCCAATCGAATGGGAGAACAGGAAGCATAAAAAATGCCAAAAGAACTCTGATTGTGATGACGGACAATTCTGTGATGCCGTCTGGAATCCGAGCTATGAAAAGGGTACGGTACCATTTCTGGATGAAAGTCTCAATGGGAAATCGATTCGATTTTGCTACAAACGTATGTTGAATTTTTTACTGATTATGTTTTTTTTTTTAATTTTTTAAAGGGGGCTCCGTTTTCAAATTTTATTGTATTTCAATGTTTAAAAATTATGTATCGTCTTAAAACTATAGCGAATTGAAGCGAAGTTTTGTAATTTTCTTTCTTTTTTGAGAGTTTTCTTATTAGCTTTTTTCTTAATTTTTGGTATCATTATGATTTAGGAATAATTTATTTATTATTTTCATAATTCATAACGGAAAAATACGAAAAAATGGAATTTTTTCAAAATAATATCTTCCTTATATATAAAACGCTAGATGCGTCTGTTGGTCTCCGTGTCACTCTGTCCGCTTTTGGAAAATTTGAAAAATAAATTTAGATTTACGTGACCCGTTAAGAAAAAATTAGACGAAATCGCGCCAAAGGGCACCACCTAGCTGGTTAGGAAGAAATATAAAAGCAAACAACATTATTTGGGGTTTAAGTCCCCCTTCAAAGAGAAAGAATGAAATTGAACGTTTTCAGATCCGGATCTTCCTGAAAACATGAAGCACGTTGAGCATGACAACGGTCTCAAGTTATGCACCTCGCACTACGATTGTAAGAGTATGGATCAAGTTTGTCATGAAGAAAAAGACAAAATAACATACTACAACGAAACAAGTGGCAAGAAAGTATCAGGGATTTGTGTCCACGGTAACCAAATATCACTTTCTATTTTTCTAATACACAATATTCTTTCAGTTGACTCGTGTCCCAAAGGAATGGAACACTCCCGGGCGGTTTTGAATACCAATAGTCAGCCTTGTCATGAAAATACCGGATGTCAGGGAGCTGGTGTTTCAAAGGGCAGCTTTGACTTCAACCCCCATTGTCTTTCCTACTTCCCATCTGATCCATCTCGTAAACTTTGTTGTTTCGAGAGGAATCCAGAATGCCGACTTGGAAAAACGGAGACCCCAATCAAGAATTGTACTCAGATGTCGGACTGTACTGGAGATGTTCTCGTAAAGGATGCCAAATGGAATTTGTGGTGTGATGATAGTGGAAAGAACGTGTGTTGCAAAGACATGGAAAACAAACTCTGGCAATGTCCGGATCTTGTTACTCCATTGTTCAACGAACCAAAATGCACTGGATACTCGAAGGATAATATTCATTCAGGAACTTGTCCAAAGAAAGGAGGACGTTGTGTTCATGGTCATTGCTGTCCACCATGTAAGTTACAAATAGAATAAGGTTATTTCTAAAAATTAAATTTTTTCAGTGTCTATTTCGGAAAACGGCACCAAAGTTGATCTCGGCAAAAACCTCTACGAAACGGAATTCCCATGCAATCCGGCTAATCCTATTCAGCCTGGTTTCTCTTACGCATTCTGCAATGCAGATACTAAGAAGCTGATTATTGTTGGAAAATTCCACAATAATGGAGACAGCATGACAAAGGTTTCTGGATCCAAGTGCACCATAAACGCTGATTGTTCTCCCGATGGAAGTTCAGTTTGTGTTTATGAGAATGATAAGAATCATGTGTGCTACTACAATCCACTTCGTGCACTTCGTCCAGAAGTTTCTTCATTCTGGAAGACTGTTCTTATTATTTCTCTGGTCTGTGCTGGTGTCTTCATGATCATCTCGCTCGTTTGCTTCGTTTATTATCGTTCCAAATCTGTGTTCGATAAATATAAGAAGAAGGGAAAGAAGGGAGGAAAGGGAAGTGATTCGAAGAGCAGCAAGGGTGGAAAAAATAAGAAGAAGGGAGGAAAGAAAGGTGGAAAGAAGGGAAAGAAGGGTGAGGAGAGTTCCAAGAGCTCCAAATCGAAGAAGTCAAAGTCGAAAAAGGACACGGAGAAGTCGAAATCCGAGGCGACGACTGGTGATGGATCCACCAGCTCTCAGTTGAACTAGAAAATAACCCCCACTAGTATTCATGGATTCTTTTTTGAATTATTAGAAAATAAATGTGTAATTGTGTAATTGTCTAATTGTTGTAATAAAAACATGCAGGTCAGACATTGATATCGAAAATTCATAAACTTCTCGAATTTCGTTTTTTGAAACGTTGATTTTTTGAACTTTGTTACATTTCAATTTTGACCGGAAATCCAAAATTCCGATTTCAAACTTTCTAAATCCCTAAACTTCTTTAATTTCAAATTCTAGGTATTCCGGAAGTTTTTGGTTTTTTTTTGAAAATTATAATTTTTTGAATTGATAAATTCTAATTTTGGCTGAAAATCCAAAAATTTGATTTTCAAACTTTTTGAAAATCCCTGTTAAACATGAAATTTTGATCCTGATTTTAAAAAACTCGATTTTCAGAAGTTTCAATTTTCGAATTCCGAAAATTTTCCAAATTTGCTTTTTGATAAATTCCGAATTATCAGGAATTCTTCAATTTGTCACTTTTTTGAATTTTCAGTAAATTTTGAATGGCAGATTTTCGTTTTTTGAAATTATTGAATTTGTGAATTTAGTGATTTTTTTTTCAGTTTTTGTGAAAATTTCCATTTGTGATCTAGAAACCAGAAAATTCGAAAGTTCGCAATGTACGGAGAGAATTACGAAACTTAAATCCTGAAATTAGAAATTCGGGTTTTCAAATACCGACAGAAAACATAAGGAAAAAAATATATAAGAAGAGGCACAAGTTTATTTTTCTTGAACGTTTTTCACTTTGTTATGGATGAGTTCAATTGTTGGATTGGAAGGTGGCAGAAATAGGCCGATGAAGACCGCCAGTTTGAAAATGTAGTACAACGGAATGTACTCAAGAATACGATCAAATAGGACGAAGAATCCGAAAAGTGTCCAGTAAATGAACATGATTCCAGAGGATAGTCTTTCCGATGGCTCGCAATATGTCAAAACGATTGGAGCTGCTACAAGTAGACTATTCGCCAAGTAGTGAGGCTCTTTGAGAACGACCAAAAGAGCCAGAATGAACATGATTGTTCCTTTGATGAGCTAAACTTTGAAGAATAAGCTATCCGTTCCAACAAAAGGAAACTACCAGTTCCACTTCGACTCCAACGATTTCGCTGAACCTTTTCGCCCATCTTGCAGTTGGATACTTTTGATCATGGATGAGGCTGATGAACCAAGTTTGCACTTCCAACTCTGACTTGCTTATTTTTGAAGGATTGAAATGATGGATTGAAACAAAAAAAACGAAAATCGCAAGTTACGTAGAATTCAGAAAAGAAGGAGAGCACGAACAAAATCTGGATAATGAAGTCGTTTTTATGTTTCACAAATATCGACACTATAACAATGAAGACTCTATTTATCGGTTAAAAAACGGAAGCCCACAAAAAATAAAAAAATTATCTACTTGTTCTGTGTAGCTGGTTTCTCAGTAACAGTTTCAAGAATAGTTTCGTATCCACTGGTAATCGATTGATTGCGGAAAGCTGGGAATGTCTCCCATGGAGAGTTCAAATCGAATTTACGAAATTCTTGGGCCATCTCCGATGGTTCGTAGACGACACGCTTCAATTCTGGATCATAACGGACTTCATTGTATCCAGAGAGTGGATAATCCTTGCGGAACGGATGTCCCTCGAATCCATAGTCAGTGAGGATTCGGCGAAGATCCGGATGATTATTGAACCATACTCCGTACATGTCGTATACTTCACGCTCGTACCTGGAAATCGTTCTTTGATATAACTTTTGGAAGTTGAATAAATCTTCAAACTTTCGCTTTTACAATACTTTTTTCTCATAAAAATGATAACTCACCAATCAGCTCCCTTGAAAACTGGGGTAACAGAATCGATTGGGGCAATTTCGTCAGTGTAGGTGCGAACACGAACTCTCGCGTTAAATCGAACCGAGTAAAGAGCGTAGATGACCTCAAGACGGTTCTTGCGGGTTGGAACATCCATTCCAGTGATGAAAGTTAGGTTGGTGAACTGGGCAGAATGGTTTCCCTGAAAAATGAAGAAATTTGAAAATATTCATAAACGATGATAGAAGAAAAGTTTTTATAGCATTACAACTTTACAACTAAGCATTACAACCTGCAATTTGCAAGTCAAATCATTCTTTGATTTCAGCGAGAATTAGTATTTGAAAAATTACTTTTAATTTTTTTTTTGAAAAATTAGAAATCTCACCTTGAGGAACGAAAGAACTGGGACGACTCCAGAAGGATGAATCAAGAGTTCCAGCTCATCTCCTGCAGCGAATTGTACTTTCTGCACGAATTTCGGCAAGCACTCGGCAGCATACTTTCCAAAGTTAGCTAATCGCTCACGCTTCTTCTCGTCAATCTTCCAGATAGTTGCTGTAAATTCGATTTTTTAAAAAAATGGTTTCCGTTTTGAGTTGTACGTTTTTTCGGAGCATCTGTCTTGGTTTCGATAGTTTGTGATACAACAGAAGTTGTGGAGATTGGAGACTTTCTGATGACTTGTCTCGAAACTGCCTGCCGGATTACACTACCCAGCATTTTCTGAAATGTAGAAAAAAATGAACAGTGTCAACAGTATATTTTTTATTAAATCAAGCGAAAATGTAATAGTAAAACAGAAGAAAATATAAAAGTTATCAATCGGTCGGTCGCCGGGCACAAAGAAGACGCAAGCATATCCGTTTATGCGCCAACGTGGGAGGTTGGCGTATCTCTCGCTTCGGACGCGGAAGAGGACTCTGGACCGTTTCAGAATGATTCCATAAGAGATTCAGCGAATTGATGAGTCCTTGGGTCATCGTACAGTGTCTTCTGACCTTTTGAGTTCAACCTGTCGAAGATAAGACGCACACCAGTTAGAATTTGTTGAAAGTTGCCTGAAATCAAAACATCATATTTACAAGCAAAATGAATTTTAATTAATTCATTCACCTGTAACAAAAACTGCAGTTTCTTCACAGTCCGATTCGTATTTTCCTAATTCGTCGCCTCTCTCAAAACGAACGTCTACATTTGAACTCAACTTGATTTCGTTGATTTTTGCGCCGTTTTTGCCTGCAAGAATTTAATTATGAAAAAACAACACTGGAAACCTATTTTTCTGACTTATTAATAGAGCTAGTTATTTGAATGCCACTTTGAAAGCGACGAACGAAACAAAAGAACAAAGAAGCATGTGCATAATGAAGTGTGAAAAACATATTTCACTGTGTAGGTAACCTGTTTTTGTACTTCTATTTTTCCCTCTTCCTCTAAATACTCACCGATGAGGAATCCAATGTCTTTTGGAGGAATTTTAAAATTATACTGTTGATTATTGTTACGAATTTTAGCAACCAAAACCATCACATCATTCAGAGCCAACTTCAAGTTCCAATATGGTCCTGTTATTCGAACCATTGTTTCTTCTGCGTCATTTTTGTAGATATCCAATGCAACTTTATTATCCTTTTCAATTTTGTGAATATTAGTTCCTTCTTGTCCAATAAATTGCCCTAGAAACGATGAATCCAGGTATTTATAGATGGGAAAATTCAGAATTTCACTTCGCATGACGAAAATCCGATTGAGAGGAATATTAATAACATGGTTTGAACGAGTTACGGTGTACCAATTGTTGCAGTGTTTGCGGACAAATGGGTTGAATTTCAGCGGAAGTTTGAAAATTGATTATCGCAACATAAATACAGAAAAATTTAACTGGAATAAAGTTAAGCTGTGTAGTTTTCACTTTTTCTTTTGCTTTTACACTTCCTCAAGTCCTCAGTGCCGTCATCACCTTCTTCATCAAATAAACATGCGATTGTAACATTACGGAAGAAAAAACGGTCTCAGCTGTAATCCACCCCTTAAAAGATATCTCTTAAACCATGTTCTCTTCCACTCAAGAAAAAAATATCTATGAGATCATAGCGGAGAGTGATCCATGCGATGCGCGAAAGGAGACGAATTTTTTTGAATGTGGGAGAGAGAAAAGAGACGCAGAAGGAGTGGGTAGAAAAAAGTTGAGTGGGCGGAGTCGGATCGGAGGGAAAGGGCGCCAAATAGTTTGGCACCCAGAGACACAGTCCCTTCAGTTTCCACCGAGAAGACACAACTATGCTTCTGGCGACAATTATATTTTCTCTGGCGGTTACTGTAACTCACCAACGGAGCGTCATTCAGAATACTGTAAGGTTTCTATAGATCTGAACGCTTTTTTATTTTAGGGAATTTTTTTTGGATGTTCTGCATGGGTTTTAGAATGTGAAAAGTTTCTGAAAGTTGTCCGAGTTCTAGATTTCGAAGATAAACTATAAGCAAATGTACCATAAACCTGTCAAAGAAGGTCCCACCTATTTCGACTGAATTTATCTCGGTTACTGTAAGGGATATTAAGAAATTTTCAACTGATAAAATATGCTTGATTTTACGAGGAATATTTTTTCTGCTGACCACTTCTTGATACATTTCACAGGAAACGAGAAAAATTGGCTCAGAGTTGAAAATTAGAGGGCCCTTCCGTTAAAGATATTACAGATTTTTCCCAGAATCCTATAGTAGTGCAATTTTTACTTTAGAGGTTACCTGCCATTCCCTCTATAGTTCCTAATAACTAGGTTTAAATGCGCCGAAGGCGCACCAGCCAGCTGTTTGAAGCTGTAGAGAAGCGACAAACAGGCTGGTAATTCCTAACTCCTACACCCAAATACGTGCGATATCAAAACTCAAAAAAAAATCAGAACTCCAAATTCTCGAAATTTTCATAATCCTCATACACTTTTGTACAATCTCGGTATCTAGATAGATACAAAAAAACAAGTTATGTCCTAAATCTGCTCTTTTCTACAAAGTCCGGTCCAATTGTTTCTTCTTTTTTTCGATATGAAACCAGTGGAAACAAAAACGTACATGAATTGCGCAAAAAACTAATCGGTTTTATGATTTTGTTTTATTCGCTTTGTGTTGTCCATTACCCCAACCAAAAAAAAACTAGATAAAGTATTGAGAAATGAGGTATCGAGATTGTACATACATATATATTATAATCCTTTTTTGTATTTCGGACTGTTACCGAAATATATTAGTTTATAGATAAATTTGGATTTTGGAAGATTTTGTCCAAAGGGAGAGAGAGAGAGAGAGAGCCAAGAGAAAAAGAGGAAGCACTTGAAATGATGACCGGATAATAGATGACCGGTGTGTCAACATGAAACAAAACAACAGCACTTGAAATCCAAAAAATAAGAAAACTGAGAAGAAACGAAGGCACTGGGGTGAAAAGTGCACAAGAGATCCAAGAAGAGATCTCTGCCAAAAATGGTTTAGAGGCTTAAAGATAACAAGAAAGCGCAATTTGAAGAAAAAAGATTAGCTAACTATTTCAGGACTGCTCCTTCCATTCCTCTAACTATTCTGTGAGTTGGACATACGATGAGCTGAGCAATGATATTGTTTTCGAACTAACTTCTCGTTCTGATTTCTCAAGTTTCTATACTGCCATTGGTTTCGGAAACGAGAAGCCGGTAAGTATATTCTAGAACAATTCATCATCATCTGTTTCCTACTGTAGGAAGACGTCATGGCTGTATACGTTCGATCGCTTCAAATCGGGTTGATTGATGGACATCTCGTGGATGATGGAGCTATTGAATCTGATGAGAAGACCAATGTTCAAGCGTTGCAATTTAATTTAGAAAATGGAGTTTTGACTGCTCAGTGTAAGCTATAAAATTCAGCAAAATTCCTTGATCTGGAACAATTATAATTCAAGAACTATATAATTTTCTTGTATCTGTAAAAAAACGTATTTCAAGTATTTGAAAAAATTGCTGAGAGAGTATATTTTCTTGATTGGTATCTAAAAACATTTTTAAAAGTAGTGTTTTGAAAGTGAAGATACAGTATTCCCTCTAACAGAAGCCCACTCAAAAGTCCAAAAGTCAACTTTGAGCTCAATTATTTCGATTCCTGTGAGAGATATCGAAAATCTGTCAAATGTTAAAATATTTATCTCAATATCACCAACATTTTATCAGTTGACAGATTTTTGATATCTTCCATAGAAAACGAGATAATTGAGTTCAAAGGTTACGGTTTGGCTGGGCTTCTATTGAAAGGAATACGGTAAAAGCAAAATCCTTGATCTGACAAAAAATCCGCTAACGTTCATATAACAGTTATAGAAATTTTTTTTTATCTGTGCTAGAAGAAATTTCAATGGTTAGAAAAAGGCTTTTATAATTAGTAATTTTTCACAATAGCAAATTGAAAACAAGTAAAGCTACCGTATTTCCTCCAATAAAAAACCACCAAAACCGTCAACTTGGAGGTTATCTCGGTCCCTATGAGAGATATTAAAAATGTGTCAACGGATAAAATACTGCTGGTGTTATGATAAACAATTTATCAGTTGACAACTTTTTGACATCTTTGAGGGGAATCGAGATAAATTGGCTCAAAGTTAAAAGTTAAGGCGCCCTTGTATTACAAGTTTTCCAGTAGGTATCTTTTTCACAATTGGCTTGAAAAACAAACTGGAACAATTTTTTTAAAAGTTAGGCTATTCATGCAAAGCACACAGACCTTATGTCAAAAAACATTATCTGCAACCCATCCATTTTTCAGTTGCCCGCCCTATCGAAACGTTTGACAGCCAGGATTCGGATCTAGGAAGTTGTATTGTAAGTACCAGTGATAGTACATTTGCAGTAGCCATCACTCACATTTTCAGAACATGTTTTTGCTGACGAAACCAAGAGAAATCATCACCGGAGCTCCGTTGGAACTCGGAAATGAATCTGGGCTACAGAAGATTCAAGTTTGCGATATTGCAGTTACCTGTGCCACCAAAATGCACAATGGTTAGTGAGAATTTCGAAGAATAATGTCAGAATCAAGTTTCAGACGTTCTTGTGAAAAGACAAGAGGAAAGCAATGAAGTACCAATTTGCTCTACTGGCGGAGAAGATCAGAAGAATAGAATCGAGTGGACTGTAGAAGGAGAAACGGTCCTTATCTTTAACAACAACTTTAATTCAATTATTTTGTTTCCAGGTTCATTTCTCCGTTTTTCAAAATGCTAAAAAAGGACGTTGGTGGACAGCAATCGGAGTTGGAGAATCAATGAACGACTTGAATATGATTCTTCTTTTTGCGGATACTGGGAAACTGAAGAAACAAGGAATATTCAGAACAGAGGGAAAAATGGTTCCTTTTGACGCGGAGTTAGAAGGAGTCGAATTGAAAAAAGACTTGGCTGAAGTGAACAACGGAAAAGCACACTATGAAGTTTCGATTGAAAAGAAGTTTTTCTTGGATAGAGCTGTAAGTTTTTTTTCTGAAATTTAAAATAAACATTTATGATTAAAGAATGAGAACGGATGTTTCACCATGCAATATGCAATTCTTGCTGGAAATTATCAACCAAACTTCAATATTCAAAAACATCTTGACACCCCTTCAATGCTTGAAATTTGTAATCTCGATGCATGCAAAGCTCCAACCGAGCCCCAGCAGGAAATTGACGGAGAGACTCCAAAGAAGACAACTCATGTGACAGAAGAAGTCGTTGAGGAGGCATCTGGAGCCACAGAGCCCCCAAAAGTTTTGAATAATGAAGTGGAAGGATCTGGAGTTCCAGTAGACCCGAAAGTTGAGAATCAAGTACCGAGTTCCACTCCACATACAGCAGAAGTAGCTGATGAAAAGCCATTGACTGGAGGAGTCGAAGCAGCTCCTTCATCTTCATCCACTACTGCTCCAGTTGCCCCAGCAGATCCTTCTACTGTTGCTGCTTCTGTATCAGCTTCCACTGCTTCATCTACCCCAATCCCTGAACCAATAACCCCTGAGAAAAGTCCGTTTTTCTTAAGATTTACCCAAAATTCATTGGAATTTACTCCAGATCACGTCTTCGCAGTCGACAATCAAACAACGAGACAAATGAAATCAGATGAGAAGACAACAGATAAATCAGAGGAAAAATTGAATGATACTCCAGAAGAGACAACGAAAGCAACAGCCGGTAGTGTTGGAGATGGAAGCAAAAATGGCTGTGGAGCTGAGCATGAGGATTTGAAAGTTTGCGAATCCTATTTCGCCGAGTATTTGGGAAAAGTTAACGAGTGGTCTGAGAAACATAACATGACTATTACAAGTCATATGTGGAAGGTGAGCTATGAGACAAATATTAGTTATTTTCTGCATTCGTGGGAAAAAGCTTTCCATCTCTTTCTAACCGAAACCACCCGTCACCCGAGTAACGGACCGCTACCGGGCGACAGGCGGGTGTCACACTCGGGCCAGTCGGGCGGCTCCTGGACGTTTCAGAACCCGAAATTTCAGAACTTTTCTGCATTTTTTCTCTAGTAGCTTTTGCACACCAAATGAGTATTGCTTATTTCAATTTGTTGTCTTTCTGCTTTTTCATTCGTTGTTATCTACCGTACTCCTGGGGTTTAGACTAATACTCGGAAACCCTTAAATATCAAAAAAAAAATCGGAAGTTTCAAAAACGATGTCATTACTCAAAGTGTGCAATTACAAAACTCATAATCGCCGGCAAATTTTTTTGCGTGCTTTTAGAACCGTTTTCGAAAATTTCAAAATTTCCCCGATTTTTTGAAAGTTTCCTAGTGAGATCATTATTTGGATCATTATTTGGAGTAAGGTAGACAGGGGGAGCGACGGTCGGTCGACATTTCCTTGAAATACATAGAAAGCTTGCGTGGAAACATTGCGATTTCAAACATAGAAATTTTCCAGGCCTGCACCCTTCTATCCAAAGTTCAACATGTGACAACAATGTGCTGTACAATTTTCCGAAACACGTGTGCCACCCATCTCAGTCTCTAAAATCAGCTCCCCACATCCATATCTTTCCTCTGGAGTTTTCTTTTACTAAAATCAAAATCCATTCCTGTCAGTGTCACATTATTTATTAGTTTCTTTATTGATTTCACCCAAATTTTATGAACAAAAACAAATTCGAATAAACGAAAAAACCGTTGTCTATTGATCTTCAATTTCTTGTTTCTTTGCTGTCTTTTCCTCATTTGAATAATTCGATTGAAGTGCTAACTTGGCCATCTCGGATTCTTTCTGAAAAAAAGGAAGATTTGTCAAGGTTATTTAGACAAAACGATCATATAATAATTATGACTGTGTTCGTTTCCCCGTCAAGGACATAATGCCTGAAAAGAAAGAAAAAAAGAAAAGAAAAAGCTTTCTTTAGTGGATTCCTCTTTTCTATGTGGTGGCAGATGTATTTTCAAAATGAGAGGAAAACTAAGAAAAAAGTTTAGAGGTCGTGAATGCCGGTGATCCTCTCTAATTGTAGATGCAAAAAAGAAGAAGAGGGATGCGGAAGAATGAAATGAGGAACTAGTTTCAATAGCTTACTCAAGAAAATGACGATGACTTTTTGGAAGTTTATTTTTTCTAGAAAAAATATTCAAGAGTTGGGGGACGGTTGGGGTAAATTGGAAAGCCGAAAATTTTAGAAAATTCGGAAAGCTTCAAGAAGTTTCGGCTCTACAAGATTATAGCGGTCCGAGGAGAAAATAACGGACCGGAATAAAACTTAGACACTGCGTGCTCAGGAAGGACCCACAAATCCTATGTTCATCAACTTTATGGAATATTTTTGCTTTATTATCGTTGATATGAATATTTTCTTCAAATTTCACCAGTTTCTTTTTCAGTTCTGAAACATTTTGTGGAAATTATGGCAATGTTCTTTTATATCCTTCCTCAATTTTTATGGCTCCAGGGGTCCCACGAAAATTGAAAGGACCCTGAAAACAACTATCTCAAACTGTATTTTTTTAGCTCTAATAGTTCTCGGGTTCTTTAAGGGTTCTGGAAATTTATAGAAACTTTGAGAAAATTCGTACTTCCTTTTACAATATTTTGAGTCTATTCCAATTCAGAGGTCCCAAATAAATTTGAAGGGACCCTGAGAAAGTAAATGATATACCGCCACCAAGGGAAGGCGATGTGTAGTAGTATTCAATATTCTGGATTTGGAAGTTGAAAAAATCCCATAATATCTCCTATTTTGGAATTATTTCTCCTATTTTTTCTTGATTTTCCAATTCTCCAAATATTGATTCTAAAACAAGTGAAACGAATATTTTTTGGTTTTATAATTTCAAAAATTTTTTTATGGTTATAATTTTAGAAAACTGGAAACAATTGAAATTTGAAATTGTAAGAAAAGGTGGTTTTCTTCAAAAAACCGAAATCTTAATATTTTTGTATTACTTTCTCGTAATCTTCTAAAAGTTTTAAATCAGAATATGAAAAACCGATACTATAAAGAAAGAAGTTTCAAAATATCCAAAATATGAAATACTACACATTATCTTCACTTGATGTATATTTTTGGGATATTTTTTTCAAGGCCCTTCTCATTTCGCTGGACTAGGATAGAGCAAAATAATGAGAAAGGAAAAAAGAATATTCTCAACATTTCTATAAAATTTCCAGAAACTTTAACAGAACCTGATAACTATTAGAACTAAAAAAATACAAATGAAATTAAAATGAAGTTTCATTATTGATTGAAAATTGATAGAAAATAGGATTTGTGGGTATTTCCTGAGAACGCAGTGCAAATTTTCATTCCGGACCGTGATTTGCACCTCGGACCGCTATAATCATATAGAGACAAAGTTTCTATTGATCCCACAAAAAACTTCAGAATACTTACCTGCACAGAAGTGTAGAACTCATTCAATGGTTGTAAAAATGCCATGTTGACAGCTACAGTAATATGCAGAGAAATGGCTCCGAGATACATCCAAAATGGGCCGAGAACACTGAAAAAAAATCTTATTGATACGTACCCTAAAAGCTGTCATAGAAGGGCTCCCTAAATTTTTACTTTAATCCAATATATCTCGGTTCCTGTCAAAGATATCAAGAAGTTGTCAACTGATAAATTGTTAAACATAATTTCACAAACATTTTATCATTTGGCGAATTTTCGCTATCTTTTATAGAAGTCGAGAAAAGTTAGCTGAAACTTGAGAGGATGAGAGCCCTTCTATTACAGGTTTTACGGTATTTCAAAAACAAACAGTCATCTCACCTATAAAACTTTCTTTCGTTTACAAAATGTCCTGGAAGCTCATTCAAATAGGAAGATCTCTTTCCAATAGCCATTAAAAGAATAATAGAAACAGCAAGAATATCAGTAAGAAGCATCAGCGTCATTGTGATTGTTGTATGAATAGTGATCAGCATTTTTCTTTTCGTCAAAACACCAAAAGCCGCCAGAATCGCTCCACCGATATAAACAGTTGCAACTGGAAGAATCACCATTCTGAACACTTCATTGCTAACGAAATATCCTTTGGATTCCAGAATAAAATATACAGCAACTTCCAGTAACATTGTCAGAATTTGCATAGAAACTGTTAGAAGAGCTGCTTTTGGAGCACCAAAAAGTTCGAAACATGCGGCTGGGCGGAGATTTGAAGTTGATGAAGAACTCATGGGTTTTCTTGAAAATTTCGGTTTTTCACCATAGTTTTTCAGACGTTTTCGAGGTGGCATTATATAAGGATATCCCAAAGAAAAGAATGGGAATAAATAATACAAACTGAATGAGTAAAGAATAGGGAGAGAGAGAACGAGATTGAAAAGAGAAAACGACTTCTCATTTTTCGGAAGCATGGAGCAGTTAATAGAAAGAAAGGGGAATAGAGAAAAGAGAATGGATAATGCCAGGAGCACATGGATTATGTATTTTATTTTTAGACGCTTGAACATTAACAGAAATTCAGAAATTCAGAAAGAAATTCAGAAATTCAGAAAGAAATTCAGAAATTCAGAAAGAAATTCAGAAATTCAGAAAGAAATTCAGAAATTCAGAAAGAAATTCAGAAATTCAGAAAGAAATTCAGAAATTCAGAAAGAAATTCAGAAATTCTGAAAGAAATTCAGAAATTCTGAAAGAAATTCAGAAATTCAGAAAGAAATTCAGAAATTCAGAAAGAAATTCAGAAATTCTGAAAGAAATTCAGAAATTCTGAAAGAAATTCAGAAATTCAGAAAGAAATTCAGAAATTCAGAAAGAAATTCAGAAAGAAATTCAGAAATTCAGAAAGAAATTCAGAAATTCAGAAAGAAATGCAGAAATTGTGAAAGAAATTCAGAAATTCTGAAAGAAATTCAGAAATTCAGAAAGAAATTCAGAAATTCAGAAAGAGATTCAGAAATTCTGAAAGAAATTCAGAAATTCTGAAAGAAATTCAGAAATTCAGAAAGAAATTCAGAAATTCAGAAAGAAATTCAGAAATTCTGAAAGAAATTCAGAAATTCAGAAAGAGATTCAGAAATTCAGAAAGAAATTCAGAAATTCAGAAAGTTATTCAGAAATTCAGAAAGTAATTCAGAAAGAAATTCAGAAATTCAGAAATTCAGAAATTCAGAAATTCAGAAATTCAGAAATTCAGAAATTCAGAAATTCAGAAATTCAGAAATTCAGAAATTCAGAAATTCAGAAATTCAGAAATTCAGAAATTCAGAAATTCAGAAATTCAGAAATTCAGAAATTCAGAAATTCAGAAATTCAGAAATTCAGAAATTCAGAAATTCAGATTTTTAGGTTTTTAGATTTTTGAAATTTCTGAAATTCAAAAATTCAGAAATTCAGATTTTTAGGTTTTTAGATTTTTGAAATTTCTGAAATTCAGAAATTCAGAAAGCAAAGCGAAAAGCAGGAAAGATGGACAGCAAAATATTATTTACTTTTTTTAATACAAGCTTGTACTTGAAAAAATACAGAATATTTGATTTTCTACTCAAAAATACTCTTAAGTATTGGAACATCCATGACATATTTTGTTCCATGCATGACTGAACGGTTGATTGCAAGCTTCAGATGAGATATCACATGGAGACAGAGAGGAAACAAAAATCAATATGGGGGCAGTAAAAAGAAGAAGACGATTTCGGGATTTATTCGGAAAGAAGTGTGTGTCTCAGTCTCCGCGAACCGTATGTCATTTCTACTCTCTGTACCTCTTCTTCTTCTTTTTCACAGTTCTTTGCCGATAGTTGACCTGGAAAGCCTTTGAATGAAAATGGAACATATAGACAATACTTTCCAGGCTCCAAATTGAAAAAATGACTTGAGGTGTTTACATCAACTGCCACAGAGAACCCTATCAACTACCGTAGTTCCTCTAATAGAAGCAAATTCAAACAACCAATTTTGAGCTCAATTATTTAAATTTCTGGTAAAGATATCAAAATTTTGTCAACTGATGAATTGTTAATCATAATATGACCAATATTTTCTCGGTGACAAAGTTTTGATAACTTTCATAGGAACCGAGATAATTGAGCTCAAAGCTGACGATTTGTCTAGGGCTTGTATTGAAAGAAATACGGTATTTAACTGAAATTCCACAACATTGATTCTCCGAAACACTGTTGTGGCGGTTGGGGTGGGGACGAATAAATAATTTGAAAATCATATAGGCAGCTATTGGAGCTCTGGAACTCTCGAGAGTCTAGAGCTGAAACAGCTTCCTGACGTACGTTTCAAAGGAATACAATCCTGATTTAGAGCAGCTAATTAACATTTACCTGAAAAAAATCTGTAAAAATATGGAAAGTGTATACATTTTTTTTTGAAAGGTTGGTTCACAACAGAAAAAATATATTTGAAAAGCCGCGCAAAGCTGAACAGAAAACGCGCCCCACTCACACGCTGTAGAGTGAGGAGACGCAGAGAAAAGCTCGTAGATCCAATTTTTTGAGCGAAAATGCTGGCTGCTTAACCTAATGAATATATGGAATTGAAGTAACCATGCCACCGAAGAAAAGGATCAGATTTAAAAGTACTAGTATTGCGGATAATGAATTACTGAAACAGGTCATTTGCCTTATTATTCATATTTTAAAAATGTTTTTAAAAATAATTCAAATTTTCAGCTGGAACTGATGTATGTCTGCGGGTACTGTTCAAAAATAGTAGAAGGAAATGGAGATGCTCAATTGATGCACGCATTGAGCCATGAAAACGAAATCACCCAATGTCGCACGTGCATCATGCCTGTAAAACTTGGAGATGAGACCAGCCATGTCAAAGAATTTCACAGTAAGTCGTTTGCATCTTAGTTAACATATTTTCAAATTTTTTCAGCGAGAGCTCCAAGACCCACTGAGTTTTTCATCGATAAGTCGCTCATAGAGCTTCGAATTGATACAGGAAAAGCGTTTTCGAGTTTTTGGGGGTTGTCTTTGTCCTCCACAGATGGTGAGTCGTGAGAAAACAATTTTGATAACTAAATACGTTTTATTACAGTAATCCTAAGCAACTTCGGAAGGTACTCTTTGAGATTGTGGAATCATTACAAAAATAGAAGATATCTCGGAATTTTTCGTCTTTACGGTTCGAAGATACATTGGAAATGTCCTTTTTGCCTAGAGAAACCAGCAATGGGGTTCAATGAGACGATCAGTATGAGAGCATATGCTCTTTCACATTTAGAAGAGTCCCATTTCGTCGAGATCACTGAAAACGATCCGGCCTTCTTTAACTTTGAATGGTTCTGTTTGAACGATGAATGTGATTTTGACGTGAGAGCGATGATGGAGATAGCACAACAGCGACGGAAAGTCCCTGACAGAAGCTATTTATCATACTACACGGTGAACATTCCACCACTGGAAAATGGAGAAAACTTCATTAATTTTGTGAAAAGAAGAAATCAAATCGAAGGAAGCGATGACAGATATTGTCTCGTCTGTTGCAGTTTTGTACCAATTAAATCGATCAAATCTCATTTCAATTTAGCTCTTCATGCTACTCTAGAAGCGTAAGATTACACTCATATGATCGCTATAAATCCTTACTTTTCAGAGTTTCTTCAAGCACGTCGTTCACTTTATTACGCCCGAATAAAACAGAAAATTTGGAAATGCTGACAGAGAAGGAAATCAAAAAGGAAATCGTTGAAGAAACCACCGACAACGATGATGAGCACACATTTCGTTTTCCTGAACAGCTATTTTTGTATTCTCAAGAATATGTTGTGAGTGAGAATATTGTTATAGGTTTTGTGCTATATTGATTTGTATTAATCAGAACTCTCGTCGGGATGAATTCAAATGGCGATGTTGCCTCTGTCCACGCGCTCATGCAACCACATTTGCAACATTCATTATATTGAGAATGTTCGCCTTGCGACACATCGAAGAACGTCATAGGATGCTGTTCACAGAAGAATTCTTATCTTATGAGTGGAAGTCTATTCAACGAGAAATGTTAGCTTCATTCGATCTCCGAGCATTCACACCAATTGAATACACATTGCGAGGTGAAGGCACATTCAACAACAGGTTGGTTTTGTGAAGATTCTGAAAATTAACAAAATCGGAAAATGTTAAAGAGATCCCAATGACTATATGCTACCTCAGCAATACTACTTTCTTCCGAAGGAATGCTCGCGAGACACCGTGATTTGTGGATTCTGCTATCGGTCTTTCAACCGTTTCGATTTTCTACCCCATATTACACTACACGGATTTATGGTTGATAGCAGGTTGACTTTTAATGATCGCCATCTTAAACCATCTCTAATTTCAGTAAAACTTGTCTACTTCGTCCAGTTGTCTTTAACGAAAAGGCATGTCAGCTGATGGGACAAGAAAAATACACCGACGAAGATCAACACGACGAACCCTGCAGAATTCTTTCAATCGCTGGAAAAAGATTGGAATCAAAAATAAACCTGATGAATTCAAGAATACAATTAAACATTCCATATCTTTCTGATGTGACGACTCCCTGCAAAAGCGAACGAGAAACAGATAGCGAATCTCAGACGGTGATTAAAAGTGTGCAAGATTTAGTTACCCTATTATTCGGAAATTTCAGCCTCGGAGCCGGAAGTCAGCTATGGATGCTAAGAGAATCCTTTCCGAAACGTTCAAAGTTCTTCAAGAGAACGCTCGCAACCGGAAGAATACATGGAATGAGTATTCTTCCTGTTCTTCTTCTTCCAGTGACGATGAAGACTCAGAAGAAGAACGATATGAGAAAGAATTAGATTTGCAAGCAACGACAGTAGCAGAAAGAGCCGCGAGATCAAAAAGTCTAGAGAAACTGAAAAAAATAGATTTGAGCACAATGAGACCAGCTGAAATACAAGAAATGATACGAAAAGAAGCAGAAAAGAAAGGTGTGAAATGGAATATAAATGATTCCAGTGAATCATCATCATCATCGGATGATTCAGAGTCAGATGAAGAAGTTCCAGAGGGAAACAAGTTGAGAAACATGAAGCCTGGAGAAATTAAAGCATTGTAAGTTTTTAAAATGTTTAATTTTCTACTTTGTTTGTTTTTCAGAATCCGCCAAGCTGCGAAAAGGAAACAAATCAAATTATCTAGCGGGTCCAGTAGTAGTGATAGTGATTGACAATCCTCAAATTTTAATGAAACCGGTTCTGTATCTTTTTTAATATTTCTGTTGTTTTTAAAAAATTAATTTGTTGAGATAAACTGAAAAATAATTCTTGATACGATGTTGTTGAAACCTGCTCAAAAGCTCAGGATGATTTTTTAAAATCTTTTATCTTTTATCAGTGATCAAATTTCGTTCAGATGACCGAAACCTACGAACTCAAAGATTTGCCAGCTGAAATGCAGCGACTTCTGGTGGGAAAGTGTGATTTGATCACCAGGTTAATAGAAATTTAAACTCCGTCACATCATGGGGTTCATTTTCAGGTGTAGACTTCGTGCTTCCTCAAGAGCAATGAACGAAGTCGTTGCTACTACGAAACTATTCATACCGTCCGTGAGAATCAAGCAACTTCCGAATGATGGAGTTTTCATAAAACTCGTTATCAAACTTTTCAAAGATGAATACACTCTGAAATTCAAAGAAACTGAAACAGGTGGAACTCGAATCTGCCAGGCTTTTCGAAGTGAAATTATCGTCGAGGACTCCCAACCAATCTGTGAAGCAGTGAACTGGTTCAAAATAATGTGTCTTCAAAAAAATGTGACAATTGGAAACTTGATAATTGAAACAACTGATAACGCTGATGGTATGGGGCAGAAGTTCGGTGAATTGGTTCAAAACAGCGATGAGATTCTGAGAGTAAGAGCTATTCAAGTGAGCGGATCAGGCGCGGCAAGAATGATGTGGAAATTCATGGAACACTGTGACACCAGTGTTTTAAACGAATTGAAAGTGAAAGAAACCGAGGGTTTCGAATTGTTCGGCAGCCAAGATTCCATTTTGAAAAAACTGGAAAATGTGGAAGCAAGTTTTTTTTAAATTTTATTAATTTAAAACAACAAAAATGAATGAAGTTTCAGATTGAGTGTGACTCGATCATCACTGGAGATGTTTGTTCTTTGACAGCATCCGTTATATTCTTGAAATCTACGAGTCTTACGGAAGAAATGGTCTATCGTCTCATTGAAAAATTCGTCAACAGAAGAGAGGCTGAATCTGCATTCTGCCTTGAAAATCCTGGAAAATGGAATCTCGATTCTTTCAGTCCGTCTGGTTTTGAAGCTGTCGACGATTGGGGTGACATGTACTTTTTCCGAATTACAGAAAAAAAACATTGAGCATTTTTTTACAGTAAATATTATGAAAACCGGCTCTTGGATGACAAAATGCCAGTCGTTTATTTGCGTGTCAGCGATGGAAGCGTTCGTTTGGAAGTCGGCAGAAATGCCCTTCTCCGAACATGGACTGAAAATGGCGACAAGACAATCATTCCACCACCATCGGACTATGATGATTCTTCTGAATACGATTTTTATGATGATTTCGATGATGACGAGAACGGCGAATACCAGTACGATTGGGATCCTGAAAACGAAATGCTTGATGGGCTTTACGAGTCGGATTTCGATGATGAAGGAGACTATCCAGATGATTACTAATCTAATCGTTTCGTTTTCTAGACATTTTTTCGTTGTTTTACCATTACCAGTGTTCTCTTTTTTGTAATAAATAATTATCGCATTTCTGGGATCTCTAGGGAGCAAAGGTAATCAGTTGAAGTAAGCTCTTTTTCGTGGAACAACCTTACTACATCACTGACCACAAGATCAATGATCACAGGGGGGTGGGGTTTCTCACCGACTACAAACTACAATTTGGGTGCAAATGTGTTATGACTAGGTTATTCTTGTTCTTTGATCAAAAATTTGGATGTGAATTTCCTTTTTTTTCCTTTGCCAACACGATTCCACCCTTTTCAATAGGTTTATCATTTCTAAACCCGCATTCTGCAGCTTCACATGATTCTTCTCCGACGTCTTCTTGCCACATCATCTAGTCAGAGAATCCCGGAAAGAAGTATATTCTTCAGTCGTGTCCCAGAATCTGAGGTAGTATATCATAATGCGAATACAACGACTTCACAAGGTAAGCTTTCAAAAAGCTTTATTATTCTGGTAAAAAAATCGGAGCTGTGGAAGAGAAAAGCTTATGACCGAAGGTCCCACAGCGACAACAAACCTAAAAATGTTCATTTTCATGATTTACTTTCTCGATTTTCACTGTCGGTCGGAGAATAAAAAAAGTCTCATTTTGAAAAAAATGACTGAAAACGAACGAAAATTGAGAAAATAAATCCGGAAAAATGAAATTATTTTTAGGCTACGGTAGTTGTCGTCATGAGACCTTCGGCAGTGGAAACCCGATTTTCTCTTCAACAGCTCCAATTTTTGCATGCCAAAATGATAAAAGTTAACTTTTAGACACTTCCTCGAAACCAGTCATACTGATGATCGGATGGGCTGGTGCTGCATCAAAACATTTGAAAAAATATACAAACATTTACACTGACAAAGGGTTCCTTTTTTAATCTAAAACTATGTATGTCGCGTCAAATAAATTTAGGTTCAATGTGATCTCAATCTGTCCTCCACTGTTCCATTTCAAAGTTCCCAATGATTCAATCGGTAAAAAGATTCTTCCTGTTGTGGATTCGATTCAGGACAAGTAAGTAATTACAGATTTTTTAAAAAATTCAAAGAAATTGCAGACCTGTTGTTATTCACTCGTTTTCAATGAATGGAATAAGAGGCCTAATCTCTCTGGCAAAAGCTTCAAATAACCCAAAACTCTTTGAAAGACTTGAGGGAATTGTCTTCGATAGTGCTCCGTCCCGTACACTACCGTACCAGAATGGGAAAGCAATGATGCTATCGAGACCATCTGTAAACTATATGAGCGATTCAAATAGAGCAGTTATTTTCCAATTGCTCAACGCAATTAGGGATGCTTTGGTAAACTGCCTAAAGTTGAATTAAAATTCTAAGCTGAAAATTTCAGATCAGTCCAATTATCAGAATCTTCCCATCCCTTCGTCATAACTTTCTTCTCCACTGGTACATTCATGACAAAATTCAACTTCCAAAACAACAACTTTTCTTGTACTCGGAAAAAGATTCCATGATCCCTTTCAGAGGTCTTGAGGAGTTTATAGAAGAACAAAAAAGGAGAGGATGTGATGTGGATAGTGTCAACTTTAGAGACACTGAACATGTGGCACATTTTCGGGAAAAACCAGAAGAATACACTAGAAAGTGCATTGAATTCGTCAGTAAAATTTGACTGTTCAAGAATAAATGAATTATTTATTTTCTCTCTAGGTTCTGTTTTCAGACTCGATATTTATCAGTTAAACGATTACTGCAGATTTTTTCGAACGGTTACTGTAAATTTTTCTAATGTTTACTGTGGATTTTTCAAGAAATCAATTTTTAAGGTAGATTTTTCGAAAGGCTACAGCAGGTTCTTTCCCAAAAATTAGTGTTTCTCAAAGAGTTACTGTAATTTTCGAAAAGCACTGTAGAATTTTCAACGGGTGACTGTAGATTTCTTATGAAATCAATGGTTTTTTTCTTGTACATACATGGTTTTTTTCTTTTACATATTTTTCTTTTACATACATTACATACAAAAATGCACAGAAGTCACCAGTAAAATTTAATTTATCATATTTTTTTATTTTCTCTCTAGGTTCTGTTTTCAGACTCGATATTTATCAGTTTATCAGTTTTTCAATGAATCGTTGATTTTTTTTGAAAGATAACTGTAGAAATTTTCTCAAAAGGATACTGTAGATTACATACAAAAATGCACAGAAGTCATCAGTAAAATTTAATTTATCAGAATAAATAAATACTTTATTTTCTCTCTATGTTCTGTTTTCAAACTCGATATCAATCAGTTTAGCAATGGTATTCAATTGAATATTCGAAGTTCCTTCATAGATTGTTCCAATTTTACAGTCACGATAGTACTTCTCCACTGGAAAATCTTTTGTGAATCCGACACCTCCAAGCCATTCGACACACTTTGAAGTGGTATTTGTAGCTACCTAAAAATTAAATATTTCATTTTTTGAATATGATTTCTGAAAACCTGAGAAGCATAGAGTTTAGCCATTGCGGCTTCACGAACGAATGGAAGTCCTTGCTCCTTCATACGTGCAGCATTGTAGACCAGAAGACGTGCAGCTTCGATTTCAGTTCGAATTTGAGCGATTTGATGTTGGAGACCCTGAAAAGTCATGAATGAAATTAGGTGTATCTTCACTGTATCTTCAGAAGTCACCTGAAAATCAATAATTCTTTGCCCAAACTGTTCTCTCTGTTGAAGATAGGGAATTGTTTCATTGAAGCATCCATCAGCCAATCCTAACATTTGAGCTCCGATTCCGATTCTTCCAGCATTCAGACACTCGATTGCGTACTTGTAACCTTTTCCAAACTCTCCCAAGATTGCCGATTTATGGACACGGACATTGTCAAAATGAATGGGACAAGTGGAAGAAGCACGGATTCCTAATTTGTCTTCCTGAACAGTTATTTAGAAATTTCAGGTTCAGCCATAAATTAGGCTCATTATTTGAAAAAAGGTCAGTCATAACAAAACAGCAACTTCTGAAATTTTTGACTAATTTAAAAATTTGATAAACAATTAGATGCCAATATTGCTAATCACTGGGCAACCCAGTGGAAGGGTTACTGTAGACTTTTCAACAAATCAAGGGTTTAGAAGGATTACTGTAGATGTATTCGAGAGTTCAATGGTTTTTTTGGTGGGTTACTGTAGATTTTTAGAACATAACTTACAATAAGGTTTAAACTTGATTTTTCAACACTTTTGGTACACTTTTTAAAGAGTTACGGTAGTTTTTTGGTAGTTTTTCTTTTCAAAGTCAGTGTTTTTTCAAAACGATTTTTCTTTAAAAAGCCGGTGTTTTTTTCAAAGGGTTACTGTAAAGATCTTTCGAATGGAGTTTCAAGAAATCAGTGTTTTTTGAGGTAATTAATGGTTCTTTAAAGGGCTACGGTAGATTTTTTCGAAGAATTACTGTAGATTTTTACAAGAATTCAATGGTTTTTTTCGGAAGGGGTACTGTACCTCCCTGTTTCTCACCTCCCTGTTTAATTTTTTAACTTTTGTTTTTCTTTGATGAATTTTGAACTTTTTCGAAATAATTAAACAATTCAATTTGAAACGAGCTCTAAACATGATTTTGTCTGGGAACACCAAAAATAGCTTTTTTTACCTTTTTGCCGACAGTTAATCCTTTGGTTTTTATATCCAACATGAAACATGTGATTCCTTTGTATCCCTTTGATACATCCGCATTGGCAAACAAAAGCAGAGACTCCGCATGTCCAGAATTCGTAATCCACATCTTTGAGCCATTGATAACGAAATCGTCTCCATCTTTTTTGGCGACCGTCTTCAACGAGAATGCATCCGATCCAGCACTAACTTCCGAAAGAGCAAATGAACCAACTGATCCTGTTACACTTTTTGGGAGATATTTCTGTTTCTGTTCTTCAGTTCCAAGTTGGAGAATAAGAGGAACGAAGAGAGTATTATGAACGTCTACCATTGCGGAAACTGAAGGATCAACTTTGGCGAGTTCTTCAATAATCAAAACTGCATCGAAGAACGTCGATCCAGGACCACCATACTTCTCAGGAATCTCCACTCCCATTAACTGAAAATCACATTTTTTCTAGAAATTTCTAGAAATTCCCTTCTCACTCCGTTATCAAAACATCCTTTGATAACTGCTTCAGTCATTTCAAACTTTGCATCCATTTCTCTAACAACTGGTTTGATGACATCAGTTGCAAAACGGCGAACTGGAAAAACGAAAGTAATTCGAAAATCTAGAAATACGTTCCTAACCAGTATTTACAAAAGAATTCTCCTGCTCTGAAAGCACTTGAAGCGGGTAGGAAGTCACATCGTCTCCTCTAATATTTTTTGAAAATGGGGACGAAGATACAGTAAGAAGACGTTGTGAGTGATTCAAGCGGAGAGCTCGAGAGAGGATAGACATTGTTCGGGGAGTACGAATGCTAGCTGCTTTGGGAGGGTTCGGGTGTCCATCTGCACATGTGGCAACCAAAAGAAAAAAAGCTCTACGTACTCAGAAAGTCACGCCAATTTTTAATTTTTTTTAGGTCAATTTTTTCCAGAGGGATCCATAATCAACAAGTGTTCATAACAGAAACAACAAGAAACAGTAATAAAAATTGAAATTATTTGAAGACCATATTTATTTATTTATTTATTTACGATTGCAAGAATCGTGAAAAAAAAATTCCTCCCAGTTGGGTTATCTTTTTTAAAGGGTTACGGTAGAACTTTCTAAGAGTTACTGTTGAAGCATTCGATCATTCCCCAAATCGAACGCAAAACGAAATTGAACTAATTCAGATCAGAACCGCTCCTTTTCCGAACTCGTATCGAAACAGAAATACAGCGAGTTCGAACTGATAGGGAGTGTCCCAAATTGAAACGATGTTTCCTTGCGCGTTCACCAGCGTTCTACAAAAAAAAACAATGTCTAAATTCAAAAAAGTTCTACTGAACCTGTGTAATTTGAAATTTATACTGTTTGATGCTGCAGCCAGACGTCGTCCTCGAGCATCCCGTGGGACGACATTCAGTTGAAATTGAGCCCCGACGGGGAGATGAACGATTGGAGAATTCTCGAATGCGCTTTTCAATTCTGTGGTAGGGTAGATATCAAAAGAAGCAACACGAGACACCTGAAAAATAGTCAATAACCTTGACACGTGCATCTCCAGAAGATAATCCTTTGAGAGAAATAGTTCCACAACCGGTTCCAACTTTTGGAAGATGAGAATCGACATTAGATTCGTGTCGAAGAAGAGCACTGTCTGATAACTGAACATGAAAACGAATATTGCGGCAGTCGGACATTTCCACAAGTACTCCATCGGAATTGAGGCCGGTTGCTTTGATATTTAGCTCAAGATTCTCTCCGACGAACGTTTCGCGTACTGTTTCGCCGGATCCAATTCCTGATACTTCAAGAACGTGAATGCTTGCTCGATTTCTCCTTTCATTATTCTCGTTTGTCTCAGTTGTTCGTTGTTGAATCGTTCTCCATTTATAATATTTTTAATATATAGAGGGATCCATAATCAACAAGTGTTCATAACAGAGAAAACAAGAAACAGTAACAAATTCAAAAACAATAAAAATTGAAATTATTTGAAGATCATATTCATGAGTTCACTACTCTCCGTGTTCACTTGTTTCGATCGTTCCTTCTTCACCCGAATCGTCTTTTTCTGTTCAACATCTCTCTGGAATGCATCCCACTTTCCACCTGACGCCTTCACCTTCGCCTCCAGTTTTCTCAAATGTTTTCCTTTTTCGATTTGTTCTTCGAAGTGAGCAGCAATGCGACGAGCCTGAGCCACCTCCACATTCATACGACGTTTCTCAACTTCCTTTTCGTACTGTAGCTGTTCCATTAGATGCACCCATTTGAATCTGAAGCGATTTCTCTGTTTATGAAGAGCATTGTGTATTTGAAAGTTCACATTGAAACCCTTTTTCTGATAGAACACAATCTGAAAATCCAAAGATTCAAGAATTTTCCTTCTTTTGAGAACATCAATATTCGGTTTTTTTTTCGATTTTCGGAATGCTTTCTATCAGAGAAAGCATATTTGAAAACCCTAAAATTATTATTTTTGTAGTCTGAAATTTATTCGTTCACCTGTATTACCACGGGTTCGAAGCGTCGCGGTTTCGAAGTGATGGAGCCTAAAACTCACCCAGACAAATATCGAATATTCCAGAGCATGCTGGAGACTGGATCCTTATTCTTCCCTCCGATCGGTGTGTTGTCGATTTGTCCAGCGATTGCTTTTGCGATTTTCTTTTTCTTCAACTCCATCCAACCTTCTGAGTACTTGTTTTGTGGGTTTTTCGTGTGCTTGTTGCGCTGAAAATAGATTCCTTTAGCATCAGAAAAATCACTATTTTGTTGAAATACCGCTAGGAAAATGCGTCCAATTTGTCCAGGACAGCGTTTCTCGAAGTACTCTCGGATCCGAACAACATTGTATTTCGGGGGAATCATGGAGAAATAAACAACTCCAGTCTTCTTCTGCTTCTGCTCGGGATCCTCGAACGCTTCTGTTTCCATATCATCATCTTCTTCTTCTTCTTTTATTTCCGCCTCATCCATATCCTCATTGTCACTAACTTCTGCTTCTTCTTCCTCTTTCGTTGGCTCTAAATCTTCTGAAACTAAAAACAAGGTTGGTTTTAGCAACAATTAATCGATACCTTCTTCTTTCACTTCTTCAACAACTGGTTCCTTATTCCGTTTTTTGATGATTTTATTTTTCTTTTGAATTGGCGCCATTTTGCTGGAAAATCCTCTGATGGTTTCCTCTGATGGTTTCTAGTTTAACAATAGGAAAGGTAGCATAATTTAGAATTTACCGTTTTCAGCTCTGGATTGGAGGTTAAGCAATTGCACATTTATTCGAAAAATAAACTGTATATTCGATGTAAAAAGTTTAGGAATTCGTTGGGTGGGACTTCGTACTAATTAGAGGCAATAAATTCAGTGGAATGGGGACCTTATGAGTACATTCGAGTTACAAAAAATATTAAGAATCAGAATAATACATTTAGAAAATCAGAGGGCTTTCTTGGCTTCTAATGCTGGAGCTCCTTGGCTGGCTTGACTTCCATGCCGACTGTGATGCAAATCAGACACCATTTGGATACCAGCCTTTCTTGCCATTCTTCCAGCCACACTTCTCGGTCCTAAATCCCAAAGTTGAGCAGCAGCGAGGGTTCCATGGCCTGCAGCAAACAGAGCGTGATGAGTTGTGTCCGATGCATCATCTCCATATTTCAGTTTGACATTTTGAACGGTTTGGTTGGCGATGCTCCGGCACAAGTGACGTGAACCATCCTCTAAACTCATCCAGACAGTTGATACACCTGCGATGCCACCTCCGAGGACTTCTGAAAGCAAACATGGTTTAATTAAAACCCAATTTTTATAAACCTACCAATAGTTCCCGACACAAGTCCACCAGTTTTTCCATCTCCGAATCTTCGTTGAGCGCTATCTGCAAGCGATCTTCCAACCGAAACTCCCATCTCTCCTATCTTGTCCACTGAAATCTTAAGTGATCAAATTGTTGACTTTTTATAAAACTTACATAAATATCTAGTACACTTAGCAACTGTTTTTGTTCCTGTGTGCATATAAACCACACTTCCTTTCACAACTGGCGATACTTGCATAGGCTTGTCCGTGGCCACGAGAGTAGTTCTATATTGCTCTCCATTATCCTCGACTCTTGATATAATTTTCACAGTAGTTGTTTCCACGCCCCATGCTATTTTCTGACCGCCTTTGATCAAGAAATTAGCTACTTGAGTGGACAGTTTCTTCTTTTCGTCTTTGCTGAGCTCCACAGTTGCCTCAGTTTGTTCCTTGAAGTCTGTGAACTCTCGAAGAACCATATTGAGTTCTTCAACGAGGCGAGGCTCAATATCCGATGAGAGAAGAATAGCTACATTCATATCTGAAAAAAAAACGCTTTGATAGTGACCTATACTATTGAGAGTAAATGTTCTTACTTGGATTTTCAGGTGTGGGATTGGCCAAAACATATGCTCCAATTTCGTTACGAAGAACTGGAGTTTTGGGACCCATCAGTGGATAAACCCATGGTCCAACTTGAATGAATGCAAGAGTATCCGAAGACGGTCCATTATCAATTGGTTTCGGGAAACGAAGAATTTGGAGGGACGTTGGAGCTGTCGGAGCAGTAGTTTTCTCAGCCTGAAAGCAAAAATTAATGTTAAAATACTCAATTGAACTGTTTGAACATACATCGATAGTGAATAATTGAACTCCCTCTGGCAAGAAATAGATCAAATCAGCCTCTTGAGATCCAAATGAATCTAGTTGCGTTCTAATTGCTTCTTTTTCATTTTCCACACTTTCCTCAGCTTTTTTTATCTTTTCCGACGACGGTGCTCGGGGTCCTTCTTTTTTGAGAACTTGAATTCTGGAAAATTGTTATATTTTTAGCAAATTATTCAAGATAGAACTGAATATACTGAACGTTCTGATCAGAATAATAACAATTGGAAAAAAAATAGTCACCGCTTTTCAACACTTGGCTTCGCTTCCTGCAGCATCTTCCACATTTCGCTCTTTTTTGCATTTTTCATCTTCTCCCCTTCCTTTATCAGATTAATTCCTTTTTCATACATCGCCAGCGTATTTTCCTGAATTACAAACGAAATGAGAACTCTTTTTTTTTAAATCAAACTCTTACCCAGTCTGAAACTTCATCATAGCATAATCCCTGTTCTATTGAAGCATACGCTTCGGAGAAAACGGCATCAACTTGAGCAGTATCCGGAATTTTCATAAAAATAGAGAACATTCCTGAAGATTCGATTTGAAATGACGAGTGAAAAAATAACCGAGTGGTGAAAAAACGGGCGCCCTTTCCGACAACAACAACAACGAAAGCAAGACTCGTGGTCTGCGTCTCTTCCCTGAATTACTCTCTTTTCAAGTCAGTAGCGCATGCGCGATGAGTCATGGTTTCGAAATCCACTAGTTGCTATGGTGCATATTTCGAAAGACTATTAAAAGGACATTGATAGAAAAAGTAATTTATCCAGTTACAATAGTCTAAACATAGAAGGTAATGAACAGATCCATTCTTCTATAAAATCAATCGACGATCTGCATAAATGATGAAGAATCTATTCGACGTAACGCTTATTCCAGAGTGGGATGTACTGTCCGACAGTTTTCCACTCGCAGAAGTAGATGGCCATAAGGAAAGCGGATCCTCCGTATGCCGCATACGATTTGAAACTGAAAACGTTCGTCTTGTTGCAACTTGCATTTATCGCCTTTTTTTCAAAATTAATATGTACTCTATGAGATTTCTCAGTGATTTGGCAATGAGCAGATACACTGTCAAGTAGATTCAGTCCGAAGTATTGATCAAAATTTTCCAAAGAACTAAAAACTTACTAGTTCGGGTTGGTGGCGGCGTTTTTCAAGAAACGGGCGGGCTTCATGTACAGCATGATTCAACCTGAAACCGATCCAAATATATATCATTGAGCAATATTAGCCTTATCAGTTATGGAAGCGGTGAAAACGCAGTCTGTCACAATAATCGTCAGAAGGGTTGACCAGATCATATTTATTAAATATATAATAACACAGAAAAGGAAAGAGACCCCCGGGCAGCAACGCAATAAATTAATGGAATTGAGTCAAAAAGAATAAATACATTTTAAAGCAAATGAAGATTTCATCCCAAGAAGTTGACAACGACGAGGTGCAAGATGAGGTTGGCAAAAAGGAAGTCAGCGAAAGCGCGTTCCGGTGAGACAGAAGAAAACTCGGATCGATTTTCTTGGTTCACTTGCATTCGGAGGCATGCTGAAAAATAAAATATTTCATCCTAACTTGGAAAAAGAAATTTCATCCGCGGTTAAATACATTCTTGAATTGATCAACTCACAAGCTAAGACGAATGATGTGACAGTCGAAATGAAACCAGAGAGGAACGAGTTGAATGGGAAGGTACCAACGAGTAGACAATAGACGAACTGCAAGATTCCCGTGAACAAGATGTATGTCATGTAGGCATCGATGATTTTGAGCTTCGAAGACGTTGTCTTTTGGTAGTCGTCCAACAACTTTGCGATGACTGGAACCACCTGAGCCGCCATTCTGAAAAAACTTGTTATATATGTATTCATAAAATAAGAGAAAAAAGTGAACGGAATCTAGAGGAAGATGCAATTGAAACTATGTATACATTTTGAAAAAAAAAGCAATTGAGAAAATAAAATGCCGTTTTCGGCTCTATTTTTTTGCAGGAAGATTCTCAGTTGTTGTGCGGCTATAGCAAACTACTTTGACAAAGAAAATTATGCAGAAAAATCATTCAAAAGAAAAGTCAATGCATGGAAAAACTTCAAGGCAAAATTTCCGGTTGGAAAATCTGAGATATATTTCATGAACACATTTTTATGGAGAATACAACCGTAATAAATCATATATTTATTTTTTCAAATAAAGAGCCAAAATCCAGAGATAAACACTCAAAAAAGCTGAAAAGCTGAAAAGCCAGCTGGGCGGCGTTTAAAGGAGCTCATAGTTTTGCCAACGCGGTCGTTGTAGGACCGCAAGCGACTCCGCCCACTTGCAACATGCGGCGCAGTTTTTTGCAGCGGCGCCGCACGGATGATCATTTTAGCTGATTTTTTTCACTTTCTCTCGAGGCACGAGACGTTGAGGGCAATCTGTTGACAACAGAGAAAACATAGAAGATATTTTGTCAAATTTTCCGCCCACTACTTCGAATTAGTGTCTGACCGAATGTGTAGCCCCTGTCATTAACATCTCTGTACTCTTTATACTCTAGGCAAAAATGCTTTACACTGTAATCAACCTCCTAGCGTGAGTTATCAAACAACGAATATATCGAACCATGTTATTGCAGGCAGATCTACTGTAATGGACCAATCTTACAAACAGTTCAAGATTCGCACATGTTTCCGGATTCGAAACATTTTGTCGACATGTCTTTGAAATATGACCCAAGTAAAGATTTTGATTTCGAAAAATTATCCATAGTTCTACAGAAAACTTATCAAAACAAAACACTTTCATTCGTTATCTTTGTTGCCTTAGAACCTGTTTCTGCAGTAGCAGAGGTGTGAGATGACACTGAGTTATAACTTTGATATCTAGAAGATCTACTGAGAAAGCTGAAAAAAGCTCCATGGAGATGTGAAATTTTCGAATCCGAAGAACGCTGCAGGGAAAAGTCAAAGATCAGTGAAATCTACCTCTAAAAACAGTAATTGAAAAGGGGTCATTTTAAAAATTGGTTTTTTGGGTTCTCTGTCGGAAAGAGATAATTTAACTACTTGTCTCCACGTGACTTTCAAAAAAAAAACTTCGAAATTCTTTAAGAGAATGAGATAGATAAGCTCTTCAAAGTTGACCGGTTTTTCTAGAGAACCTTTGATGTTCTATCTCATAAAGCAAAGAATTTTGAGTACAAATGAAGATAGTAATTGTTTTTATGAGCCTCTTTGTATTTCAGTTACGACATTACGACATTTCGACGAACTGGGAGACAGAACATCCGATATGATTATTCTCCGAGAATTTGTAACATCTCATTTCAATCCGCCCGGAAGTGAACTGGTTGAATGGTTCCCACCAGATTGGGTGGATTTCCCTTCGAATTTCTTGAACATTCATGATTATCATCATCGGAGATGGGCATTGCATTTACATCGGATTTGGAAAGATCTATGCAGAAAAGTTGGCATCTAAAACTGATTCTGAATATAAATTCTTAACATTCCAGGTGCGAGATGATGTGAAACATCGCCAGGATCACTACTCACTACTCTATGTGCCACATCCCTTTATCATTCCTGGAGGTAGATTTTTAGAGTTTTATTACTGGTACTTGAATATTTCCATGCTTCGAATCATATTATCTGTTTAGGGATACATTCTGGATATTGAAAGGGCTTCTTTTCTCGGAGATGTACGAAACTGCCCGCGGAGTTATCAAAAATCTAGGATACATGGTTGATAAGTAAGTTCTTCTTCTTAAAGTGGAGTTTTTCTGTTTTGAAAACCAACAGAAAGATTAGCGATACTCATGTTCCTCGTTTTCATTCTCAATCTTCGTCAAAATGACACCTATTGATAAGAATTGATTGATGGACTCACAGTCTCTTACATGCGATTATCATATGACCGATTTAGAAAAGAATGTTCGTTTTCTGATTCGAATTAAGGTGTGGTACGAATGTCCTTGGTACATTTGGAAGTCATTAGGGGAAATTGCGCATTTGAAAATCGGGAGACGAACTATTTGATGGATACTTTTCAGTCATGGTTTCGTGCCGAATGGTGGTCGTGTCTATTACCTCACTCGCTCTCAGCCACCACTTCTCACTCCAATGGTTTACGAATACTACATGAGCACAGGAGATCTCGATTTCGTTATGGAAATCCTTCCAACGCTAGATAAGGAATACGAATTTTGGATTAAAAACCGCCAAGAATGGTTCACAGACAAGGAAGGCAACAAACAATTCCCTTACTATCAATACAAAGCGAAACTGAAAGTTCCAAGACCAGAATCGTATCGAGAAGACTCTGAGCTGGCAGAACACTTGCAGTCAGAAGCCGAAAAAATTCGGATGTGGAGTGAAATCGCTTCAGCTGCAGAGACTGGTTGGGATTTCTCCACTCGCTGGTTTTCTCAAAATGGAGATACCATGCATCGGATGGATTCAATCAGGACATGGAGTATCGTCCCAGCTGATTTGAATGCCTTCATGTGTGCCAATGCTCGAATCCTTGCCAGTCTCTATGAAATCGCTGGTAATTTCAAAAAGGTGAAAGTGTTCGAACAGCGATACACTTGGGCAAAGAAAGAAATGCGAGAGTTGCATTGGAATGAAACAGATGGAATTTGGTACGATTATGATATTGAGTTAAAGACTCATTCTAATCAATACTACGTCTCGAATGCAGTTCCACTCTATGCCAAGTGCTATGATGAAGACGATGAGATCCCACACCGAGTTCATGATTACTTGGAGGTCAGTTTCTATTCTATTCAGCTGAAAGCAAAAAAAAAAAACGAATTTCAGCGTCAAGGTGTATTGAAATTCAAAAAAGGTCTTCCAACATCTCTTGCAATGGGAAGTTCCCAGCAATGGGATAAAGAAAACGCATGGCCACCTATGATCCATATGGTAATCGAAGGTTTCCGAACAACTGGAGATCTGAAACTGATGAAAGTTGCCGAGAAAATGGCTACATCATGGCTAACAGGAACATATCAGTCATTTATTCGAACTCATGCCATGTTTGAAAAATATAATGTTACTCCACATACTGAAGAGACGTCTGGAGGAGGTGGAGGAGAGTATGAAGTCCAGGTAAACCAAAATTTTCCATTCTGTGAAAAAAATTGAAATATATTTTCAGACCGGTTTCGGATGGACCAATGGTGTTATTTTGGATCTTCTGGATAAATATGGAGATCAATTTGCTTCCAGTTCTACTAAAACCACATTTGCTTCGGCGAATATCATTTTCCTAGTCATCATTTTGTATATTTTGTCCTAGATTTACCTAGGTTTTCATCCCCTACTCACACGTAGAAATTCATGTTAATAGATTTTTCCTGTAGAAGTTTTGATTCATTTTTATTTTTCTAAGAACATGTTGCCATAACGATTGCCTGTACTTTAGCTTTTTCTGTACTTCATATATCAACCTGTTCATTTTTTTCCAAAGGATTCCGGTTCATTTTTCCTTTTTTGTAAAATTGTTGTCTTCCTTCGGGTCATTTTTCGTCGACTTACTGCATTTATAGTTTATAAATTTTTTTAAATGTTCGCTGACAAGTTTTCTAATCTACAGGAATTCCGATGAGCTTTTACTTTTGTTCGAATCTTGGAATAAAAAAATCAGCCTTTTCAGCTAAATATGGGAATCGCCGGTTTATGGAAAATCATTGAACCAACAGCCACTGAGATTCCACTCGAGTGTCTTGAAGGAAAGAAGTTAGCGATTGGTATTATGAATCATTCAAAATATAAAAACAATTCATTTGTAGATGTTTCTATTTGGATTTATCAAGCTCAACTCGCCTACCCATCAGACCAACCGTTTCCTCATTTACGACTCCTCGTGAATCGCCTCTCCAAACTTCTCTTTTATAAAATTCGCCCAGTTTTTGTTTTTGATGGACCACAAGTCCCGGTTTTGAAGAGGCAAGTTTTGGAATCAAGACGACAGAAGCGAAAAAATGATGACGATATTTTGACGAATCCCAAGAAAATGGGAAAATTGAAGGTTTTTATTGCCACTCCATTGTTTAAAAAATGGATCCATTTCCAGGAGATCGCATCTGGTGGATTGGATGAGGATGCACTTTCAAAAGCTATCAAAGAAGTTATCAGTCCTTCGAAAAAAGTTGTTCTTAGCGATGTATATAAAGATATCCCATCTACAAGCACTAACCTAGATTTGCCATCTGCCCATCAAAACGATCAATTGGTTTATGGCGAAATTGAAAGTTCAGAAGAAGATTCAGACGATAGTGATGTAATTGTTGAAACGCTAGTGAAGAAGGAAGAGCCTGATCAGAAGATGTTCCCATCTAGAAAAATGGAAATTCGAAATTTAGTAGAGAAACGAGAAGTGATGAGAAATAGCAGACTTCGTCCAGATATGGTTGGTTTAGAACTTAAATTTAAAAAATCGACCAAAAAAATTTCAGATTCCGCAAGATTCGAAAAGTTTCAGCAATTTCCAAATGCAAAGACTTCTCCAGCGTGGTCGATTGAATGCTCAGATTGAGCAGCTAGCAAAATCAAATACAACATCTTCTGGTGCTTTTTCTTCTGATAAAATTAATGTGACAGGACCTGATGGAACCTCCCACGTTTTGAAATATGCGCACAGCGATGAGATTCAAGAATGTCAGCCGGAACTGAAACGAGAGTTTGATAGTCTATATCAGCCACCATTAGAGATGACTCTTGACGTTTTTAATGTGGAGTATGGTGGGAAAAAGTTGAGTCGAGAAGTGACACCAGATGACGTCAGAGAAGAGATTGTAGAAAGAATTGAAGAGCGATTAATTGATAAAACGGAAAGAGGATATCAAAGTAAATCTGGAATGTTGGAAGCGATTGCTAGAAAAAGAATTAGGCAACACTATGGAACGGAAATTATTGAGGATAAAGAAGAAGAGAGAAGGAGAAGAGGAGAAGAAGAAGAAGAGGACGATTTGATTGAAGTTAGTGATGATGAAATGGCTCTTCAAAAAGCGCTTTTCGAATCTGCGTCGAAAGCTTTAGATGAAAAAATGGCAATTCTTAAAAAGCACAGACCAGACAGCGACGATGAAGAATGGGATCCGCAGCGCAACGATATTCCATCCACATCGTCAGCAGCTCAAAGGAATCTAACAGATGATTATATTCATCTGAATTATGACGATGATAATGAAAGAACTCCAGAACTGTATAGAGACCTTCAAGAATTCCTCACTAATGCTGGAATCCCTTGGATAGAGGCGCCAGGAGAAGCCGAAGCACAGTGTGTAGAATTGGAAAAGCTTGGACTAGTAGATGGAGTTGTTAGCGATGATAGTGATGTCTGGGCTTTTGGAGTGAAACATGTCTATCGACATATGTTTGCAAAGAATCGACGAGTTCAGAGATACGGAGAACAAACCGCAGCGAACCGAGACAACTGTAAACTTTTTTGTAAGTGGTTCTTATTTTACATTTCATTTGTATCCTAGCCCATATATTTTAGGTCTCCAAAGAGAAGATTACATTTCAATCGCCATTCTAGCTGGAGGTGATTATTGTCCGGGACTTGTCAAAGTGGGTGCTATTGGAGCTCTAGAACTAGTTTCAGAGTTTGTGGAAAAACGGAATGATCAATCGGAAACAATTGATATTATTGAAAACAGGGTTCGCGATTATTAGCTTCTGCACATTCTGTCAATTAATTTTTTTTCAGATTTTGCAGCTTTTGGAAAAAGCAGGACAATTATTTCTGTCTTCTCCAGATGAAAAACGTTTCAATAGTCGGAAAGCTCTGATATTGAAGAGACATGTAACGGAAGCGAATGAGAGAGAACTGATTGAAAATGTGTGTTCCAATAAAGATGCGGTGCATGCATATCTTCATCCAACCGTAGATGATTCTTCCGAAAAACTGCGATGGCGTCAGATGAACATTCCACTCATCCGCCAGATCCTCCACCAACGCCTTCAGTGGCCAGATCGAACACAACACCATGAAGAGCAAAACTCTTTTAATGCTTTCGTAAAATGGAATCAGTTTCTACAAGCTGGTGGGCGGAGTCAGATGAGGTTGGATCGGTTCTTCGCTCAAAAATTAGACAGTGCTCTAGAATTGAAATGGTCGAAAAAGGTCGTTGAGGCCCTAGAAAAGATTGGAAAGAGAACAAAAGGAGTTTCACTGGACGAAGAGAAATTGGTGGATCAGAAAAAAGATGATGAGATAAAAGTGCTTGAAATCAAGAAAAAGGAAAGGAATCCTCCGGAGAAGAAGAAAGCTACACATGGCAGGGGAAGAGGAAGAGGACGTGGCAGAGGAAGAGGCGGGGCGAAGATTTCTAAAACAACGGAGAAGAAAGAGCTGAATCTCTCCGAGGACAGTAGTTCAAATGATTCATTCGACGACTTTTGTAAATAATTTAGTAACAATTCTATGAATAAACTCTAATGCAAATTGATACTTGGTTACTTTTTTCGATCTGCGATCATATTTTCGTATTTCCGTACTTGTTTTAGATTTTAGAAGGCGTTTCCATTTCTCGTTTCAATCTTTTCCTCTTTTTCAGATGTCCTTTTCGCTCTTTTCCTACTCCAAAATCCTAATTTCTCCGAATCGGCACCGCGATGGGTCGAGACCCCGCAAATTCCAGAGAAAAAAATTTCCATGGAAAAAAAACTCCGGAGAAAAGTGGGTGGAGTCAGGGGCGGAGCCTAAATTGCAACCCTGGCCCGG